GGATTTTTTTTTAAAGGGCATGTGCGCTTTTTGGGGATTTTTGATATTTTTTATTATTTTGCATTTATATATATATATATATATATATATATATATATATATATAATTTTATAATAGGTTTATGTATATTTATTTTGTTGATTTTGAATTATAATTTATAGTTGGTCTTTTGTACAAAAAACTTTTTAATATTTTTGCCTATTTTTGTAGACTTTTTAGTTTTAGAGTTTAAGGGTTTTTTTATTTTTTTTTTATTTTAGAGATTGTATTCTTTTTTCTTTATGGGACAGTTTTATAAGTACAGTAAAGTTAACAGACTAAATAGCATATTTTATTTATGTTAATAAGCTCCTATGCAGTACATTTTATTTAAATATTTAAATAAAATAATTAAATTTTAAATAAAATTTAAAATTTAAATAAAATAAATTTTAAATAAAATTTAAAATTTAAATAAAATAAATTTAAATAAAATTTAAAAATTTAATTAAAAATTAAAAAAAATATATTTACTCTGTTAAATTTTACTTTGTTTTCATTTGACATGGATTTTAAACTTCGGACAGGGCAATTCCTGTTTTCACCTCATTTCCAGCGATCATTTGCAACCTCTTGCATTTCAGGATCATTATTTTCTTCCAGGGCAGCAGAAGCCTCTAATTTCCAAGCAAACATTGTCCTATGGAGCCACTGATGAAATGCTCTGCTCTGACTTATCTCCAGCAGCAGCTGCTGGGGATAAATTACATTTTAATGATCAAACTCCTGCTATTGGCATTATTAATTAGGCCAACACCAGCCTTGCTCATATTCTGCTTTCCCTGCTAGCCTGTGCTGGCTTTGAGTGGAATTATTTCCCTGTCTGCTCAGGGGGGATGGCTTTAAATGGAAAAAGGGCAGATTTAGAGGGATTTTTGGAAGGAATTGTGCCCAAGGCCAGGCTGGATGGGATTTGGAGCAGCCTGGGACAATGGAAGGTGTTCCTGCCCATGGCAGAGGTGCCACAGGGTGATTTTAATTCCCTCCCAACCCAAACAATTCCATAATTCCATAATTGTTGTCCCTAGAAGAAGGAAAACCAAGTCACAGCCAAGGAGCAAAATTGTCTCCATTTCCCTGCAATAAGTGGGATGAAAAAACTGAGTCTGCAACAAATCTCGAATAACTAGATAATTAAAAGAATAAAATAGGAGGAAGTGGATCTTACAGATCACAAAGTAATAATATTTTCTTTCAAGTACAACCCCACTCCCAAAACCCAGAGGTTGGTGAGAGCATTTGGGTGGAGAGAAACAAATCCAAGGCAAATCCTTATTTCAACCTTCCAGCCAGGAGCAGGAAACAGAAATTCTCAATCCTGTCAGAACACTTCAAAAGGTGAGCGCACCAAAGGTGCTTAACACACTCTTTTATAGTGAATTATTATTATTATCATCAGGAGAATTTGACCCAATTTTTGATTTCAAAAATGAGAATTGGAATAATTCCGAATTTGACAATGAGAATTGGTTTGGCTTGCTGGTTTGATATTAATGAGAAACGTCTGTGAGAGGTGTCAGTGGAGAGGAGATTTCCGCAGGCAAAATACTTGTGGGTATTAAAATATTTTCTTTTGCTTGCAGAAAGGACACTTGTCCAAATGTTCCCCACAGGGGCTGAAATTCTGTTTTTTTTACAGACAGGGGTAAATCCTTTATTTTGACTTTTTACAAAATTCAGTCACAGCTGTTTGAAAACCTTCAAGTGCTGCATTTTACTGCCCTGAAATATTTAACTTATTAATATATATTAATAGTGTCTTATAATATATAACAGTATACTATATATAATAGATAATAATAGACTATATATAATATTATCTTTTTATGTCATTATGTATAAAAATATAATATTATAGATTATGTATTTTTATAATTATAATCTATATATAATTATTAATCTATATATAATTATATAGAAAATAGATTTGTTTCTAGTTCCATTTCTCTCTCAACAATGTCTGTCCTATTCCATGGCATTTCTAAATCAGCATTTCAGATAAAAGTCATATTTCATATTTTTTCATATTGGCATCAAAATGCACCTTGGGCACGGGTCTGTGCACAAAAAGTGTGTTGGTCTCTCCTTTTTTTGGGTTTCAGAATTGCCAGGGAATATTTTCTGTTCAATCTTTCCTGTGTGATCAAGAGGCATGGTTGGGACTTCAGAGCTTCCCAGAGGGGGGAAAAAAAACAAAAAAATCCTCTTGAAATTGTTTTAGACAAGTGTAATAAATCAATATAAATGATGGAATCAACCTCTGGGCTCTATTCTTGCAAGTCCATGCCAGGGAACATTTCATGGAATAAGTGATGACATCTTCCTTAGAGAAACGAGGGGTGAAGTGAATTATCTATAGAAAGGGTCAATGTCCCCTGATCTCCTTTAAAAATCCATTTGAGGAAAACCAAAATGTGCTGCCCTTTTCAAGTCCTTTCTTACACCTGCTCTGTTTACCTGCTGCAGCCTCTCTGATCAAGGACTTGGATTCTCTCCTGCATCTTGTATTTTCCCATCAGCCTTACTTGTGCAATAAATTGCCTAAAATCTGTTCTCAACCTGCATTTCATTAAAAAATAGCTGAATAGTCCCCCCAGAATTAACCAGAAGTTGCAGCTCCTTCTCCTTTGTTTTCAAAAATGGAAGTTTTTTCAGTAATGGAAGGAGTCACCCTCTGGCTGCAGAGAAATAATTTGAATTCCCCCTCACTTTCCCATCTGTGGGCAGATTTCATTCATTATCTCACATTAAACCCAGAGGTGTTATTAAAATCCAGTATAATTTCAGATCTGTAGGGAGCTCTGTGATAGATGTAAGAGAAGAGGCTGAAAATGACATTTAAATCTTCATTGATGTGGCCATTTCAATGGGGCTTTGAATTACATTTTTGTGTTTTCTCACCTGTGCAAAGTTTCATTTCCAGTGAAGTGCTGGAAAAATAAATCCAGTTTATTTCAAAATGCAGGAAATAAAAAAGAAAAAAAAAGGCACTTGGGTGGGTTCTGGTTTATTTTCTTGGGAATTTGGCAGAGGCAGCACATCACTGATGTATCTACCACTGATAGAGTCTCTCTTCCTTATAGCCAGGGAAGAAAAAATCATGTTTATTAAATGGTTTTTGAGTGATACAGTTCCATTCTTATTTGAGAGGATGATTTTGCTCACACTTGTATTGATCAAGAAATATAAGTGAACGTTGCCTTGGTTACCTTTGCAAAATTCAGTTTTTTTACCCTTGTTTGTCAGATCTGTCCTGTATAAAATCCCATTTTCTTCTTGAATCTGTATTTCTGACCATGATTAATCAATAACTTTGTTAGTTCTGATTATTTTTTTAATATTGTCTTTGCACTTTCCTCTGGGCTTTTTTAGGGCAAGTTTCCTCTTGTTAATATATATATATAAATAACATAATATTGGGAATTAGCCAAAAACTTTTCCCAGGAGCCCACCACTCTGTTCTATCCCCTTGAGCTCATTCCCACAGAGTTAGGATGTCAATTAGAGCCTTAAAAATCAATTTAATTTGGGAAATACTTGTTGTTTTTGTGAGTTTTAAGGAAGTGAAATCAAATATTCCTTGGCAAGTAGAGTTAGGAAAGTTCTCCCTGTCCCTCCCTGCCTTTCTCGCCGTCCAATTTCCATCCAAATAAACCAGGAATGCAAAGCCAAGGAATCCTAGGAAGGAGCCTGCTGCCCTCTCATGGCTCCTGGAGCAAACAACCGGGAGAAAAATGGGAATAAAAAGCTGGGAGGATCCTCCTGGTCCAGCAAAATTCCCTTTCCAGGCACAGGAGCAGAAGGGCTGACTCCATGTCCTGAGTTATTCCAGGGAATGCTGTTTGGTGGGATTTATTTCCTAATTTTTCAGCCCTTTATCTTCCAAGAGGTTTTTTTGGTGTGGTTTGGGCACCACAGGAACTGCTCCTCCAGCAGAAAACTCCTCAATTCCTGGAAATGCCAATAATTCAGGATTCCATCCCTGGAAGCATCCAGGGCTGGTTGGATAATGAGATAATAAACTCAGTTATCAGGAACTGCCTGGATTTGGGATTTGGGAGCTCCTGCTCTAAATTAAATTAGAAATTAAGAAAACTCTGGAATTCCCCATGTCCTGAAAGGAAAAGGCTGCTCAGGAGCCAGCCAGGACAGGGATGAACAGCAGGAATTCAAACTGCCCAGGAACCAAGGGGGGTTGTGCACTTCCAGGCTGAAGGAGGGAGAAAAAATGGGAAAAGGAGGAAAAAAGTAAGGTAAAAAAAAAGAGAAAAAAGGGTAAAAAAGAAGGGGAAGAAACAAAAAAGGGTGCAACCTAATCCAAGCCTGCATTAGGTGTTAGAACCCTGGTTATTGAGAATTTTAAACTTTCTGTGCTGTCAGACACTGACCTCCAAAAGAACACTGCATCCCTTCACCAGACCCCTCTGAACTTTCTAGAACTGGAATTCCTGCTCCTCCTGGATTATTCTAATTCCATCCCTCCACCAGACCCCTCTGAGCTCTCCAGAGCTGGAATTCTTGCCAAATTCTCGCTCCTCCTGGATTATTCTGACTCCATCCCTCCACCAAGCCCCTCTGGGCAGAGCTGTGGCATGTGGCAGATGCTGGCTGGGCCCAGCACTGACAGATGAATGCTGAAACTGGGAACATTTTTGCAGCCCAAGAAAAACTGGCAAATGTTTGGCTCCACTATAACGTTTCCAAGCCCTCCCCAGCACTTCCAGGCACACAAAGATCAGCCCTGATTTTATTGACCTCAAGTCTTTGAAACCCTATTTTATTTTTATTTTATTTCTCACTCTGCCCTCAGCACCCTTTTAAGAGGGATGGGAAATCCCTCTGCTTTGGTTCCTTTGAAAGAGCTCAGCTGCACAAAGTGCTGGCTGCTTTCATCTCCAAACTTTATTTTTGTGACATAAATAGTGAGGATTCACCTCGTGTATTCACTTCATCCTCTCTTCAAAACGCTTTTTCATCTCCACGAGCACTTCTTGTATCACAGGACAGATAACAGAACGTGACTGAAAAATCACACTGGAAAGGAAAAGGAGGCTTTTTTTTTTTCTTTTTAAAGGCATAAAAAAGTCTCTGCTGGCTGCAGAGGTGAGGGACAAAGGGGCAGAAGTGCTGAACACGTGCTCTGAGCAGGATTTTGCACTTTGGATCTGTCCCAAGGTCCCACTGCTCATTCCCTGAGAGCAAGGAGAAGGGAGCTGCACTCCTGGGCAGTCCTGCAGCCTTTGTGAGCAGTTAAATACTCCTCAGCCTGGGCAAAGGGGCCAGAAATCATCCCTGATAACCCAGCTGGGGATTTTGTGCGGGCAGAGACGTGTGGAGAGGGGCTGGGCACACCTGCCCGAGGTGTGGCTTTGCCCTTGGCTCTTGGCAGTGCCTTTCCTGCAGGATTTTCCTGCTCTTTCTGTGCATTAATAACCCAAGTGCCACCTCCACAGGGCTTCAAATCCCCCCAGGGATGGGGACTCCACCTCTGGGTCCTGTGGGGTTTGCTCCCACGCCCAGGAGCCTCCAGAGCTGCAGGAGATCCCTGAGCAGAGCAGGGAGAAGACGGAGCAGCAGCACCTCAGTGACCATTCCTCCTCATCCCAAGGATCCTGGTGTGCTCTGTCCCTCGAGATCCCAAATCCCACACCCCTAAAACCATGGCTTTGATCTTCCTGCTCGGGCCAGCAGGCAGCTGAAACCAAAACAGGCTTTTGTGTCCTCAAAACAACCTGGGAATTGAAGTGTGCACACAGTTCAGAGCAAATGGAATTTGCTGTCCACGCTAAAGTCCTCTTCCTTCAAACCTCCCTTTTCCAAGGTGTCCTTAAAACAGAATAACATCCTTTGGTGCATTTTCTATGGGTCTTTCCTGCTCTTTCTTCTTGGAGTATCTGGCATGGTCGTAGAAATAGATGATGATGAGAGAAGCAATGTTCAGGAAAAGGATGAGCAGCATGATCCAGTAGGAATATCCATAGCTGTGTGTGGATCCAAGGTGTGTCTGCAGGGAGCTGGAACAGCTCTGGGCCAGCTCTTCAGACAGGCTGTTCCCTTCCACGTTCACAGGGAAAAGGATCATGGTTATGAGGATGAGGATGCCTGGGAAACACAAATACAAATTTTAGAGGAGGAACTGTAATGCTATTTGTGTAGTGACATATTATATTATATTATATTATATTATATTAATTATTATATTCTGCTTTAATCCTTGTCCTAGTCCAGGGATTTTAATCAATTTATCTAATATTATATTATATTGTATTGTATTTATTGTATTGTATTATATTACATTACATTATTTATTCTATTCTGCATTAATCCTTGTCCTAGTCCAGGGATTTTAATCAATTTATCTAATATTAACAATGACTAAACTATGGAGGCCTTTAAAGAATTTTTGCCCCACCCAATAGTGTCTGACAGGTGTTTTGATATAGGCAATGCTATAATCTAAAATTATTCAATTCTCGCTGATTATTCTTAGATAAGGCCATCTAATTCAATTTTTTTTTTTTTCATTTAATTTAGTGCTGATGAGTATTGTGTATTCACCCCCTTGGTGATTTGTAAATGTCTGTTTGATATGAGCCCAAATTCATGGATGGGCAGTCTCACAGTTGGATAAAATCAAAACAGCTGGATAAAATATCACAGCTTCATAGATATCACAGCTGGAAAAATGTCACAGCTGGATAAATACCACAGCTGGATAAAGCCCTGAGCAGCCTTGTCTGTGCTGCGGGGTGGCCTGAGAGCTGAGACTGGAGACCTCCTGTTCTTTACAACTGGAATTATTGGATGAGTCTGGGGTAAGCCAAAATGTGATGTCTTATTAGATCTGGGTTTATTTCTTACAGCCTCCCAAATGTAAAAGTTCAGCTGCTTTGACATTTATCTGGATATTGCTGTTGCACCTCTGCTTTCCTCGTGCCAACAGAGCTGTGATCTCTGAATTTTGCTGGAACAGTTCCATTCCTCCTCTCCAGGCAGTATTGTAAATGCAGGTGAACCCAATGGGAAGAAATGAGGATGTCTGACTCAATTCAGAAGGCTGAATGATTTCTTTATTAGAACTATGCTAAAATACATTAATATACTATATAAAAGGAGGATACTAAAACTACATACTACTTTCTCTGACTCTCACACAACTCGTGACCCTCTCTGAGAGTCCAGACACAGGTGGGTTGGATTGGGTTGGGTTGGATTGGGTTGGATTGGATTGAGTTGGGTTGGGTTGGATTGGATTGGATTGGGTTGGATTGGATTGGATTGGATTGGATTGGATTGGATTGGGTTGGATTGGGTTGGGTTGGATTGGATTGGATTGTCCATCAGGCTCAAACAATCCTCACCAGAATCCAACCAAGCACTCACCCCAGGTAAACAATTCTCCAAACACATTCCACATAGGAAAAACAAGGAGCAGAAATACAAATTGCTTTCTCTTTCATTTCTCTCTGTGCTCCTCTATGAAAATCCTGAGAGGAAGAGAAATGTTCTTGCCACACAGGTGCCTCATCCGAGCCCAGCTCACGCTGAAACAGCTTCACTTTTTATTCAGTAGGAGAATTAGGAACCACCAGGATGAGCTCCCACATTAGATAATGCCTGATGTCCCATAAAAATGTACCCACAGCAAAATGATCTTCCAGGTCTCAGCACTTGCAGGGCTGTTAAAAGTAACCCCAGCCCTCAGGCAACACAAGAATTTGTTTTCTCCCCAGTATTTATTTTGGCCAGCCCGTGGTCCTTTCGTTTCAGACAGAGCTTGCAGGTTCAGGAAACCCTTCCCATGGGATGAGACAATGATCTGCCTGTCTCAGAAGTGAATAATTGTCTAATTAAGCTTTGCTCACTTTTCCTTCTGTGCTTCACAGCTGTTTCAGCATCTGTGTTAAAAAACGGGTGATTTTCACTCCTCCACCTGTACTTGTAATAATTGAGATTGTCTGCACTGTTCCCTTCCCACCAAGGTCTGGTTATGTCCCCAGGACAGGCTGATGCTGCTGGGGACACGTTTTCCTGAAGAGCTTTGGGAGGCCAAAATACTCGTGCTGAAATACTCTGTAATCAGAGGTGTTAAAAGGAAATTATTCCAGTGCAAACCCATTATCAGAGGAATGCCTAAACCTCTGGAGACTGAGTGTGAGACTCACAGCTCTAATGACTCACCAGCTCCACCTTTTTTTTTAATGATTAATAAGTTTAAACTTATTTTCACCCATGAATTTTTTATTCTTTAAAGAGGGAAATTATTATTGTCATGGCTCACTCCTCCGAACTGCTGCCTCCCTATAAATACTACCATATAAATATTATTTTATTGCTATAGAATGTAATTTAATCATATTTAAAAGAGGGTTTTCAGGTGTGCCAGGAGGCACAGTTAAAAACCAAATCCAGAGAGCAGAACGCATTTCCAGGTGTTTCTTCTTGCAGCTCAATGCTCCTTAATGTCAGAATATATAAATATTATGTTATATATTTTAAAAATAGATAAAAATCTATATTATAGATAATATAGATTATATAGTAATAGAATACATAGAATATATTCTAGATATTATATAATAATAGAATATATAAAAAATAGTCTATTATATTCAATACATAATATAATATATAATATACTATAATATATATACTATACTATAATATAATATAATATAATAAATATATCATAGCATATCATATAATAGCATATAATAGTATACAATTTAATAGTATATGATCTATATCTATTATAATATATTTTGATATGTAAATAATAGTATATATAAGTATATAATATAATAGTATATATTAGTATATAATATAATAGTATCGTATAGTATATAATAGTATATAATTTAATAGTATATGATCTATATCTATTATATTTTATAAATAAATAAATAAATATAAAGTATATATACAAATAATTTCTATATAAAATATATTATTTATATATATAAAACATATCTTATATATAAATAATATATTTTATATAAAATTATATCTAATAAATAACATATACATATAATATAAAATATACAATAACATAAATAATATTTTTCTATGTATAAATAATATACTTTTCTATGTATAAATAATCTGTCTATATAATATACATAAGGAATATATACAAATATAATAGATACAAGTATTGCAATGCCACTCACCGCACAGGGAGTTCCAGGTGTAGACCCCGATGGGCCCCAGGAAGGTCTGGTAGGGGTTGCTGACAGCGTTGGTGCAGGTGAAGGCAGAGCTGAGCAGGGAGCCCAGCAGGGCCAGCACCAGCACCACGATGGTGGCCACGTTCAGGCTGCTGCTCCTGCTGCTGCTCAGGGCCTCCGAGACTGCAACACAGCGGGGACAGAGCACAGGGTGAGCCTTGGGATTTCAGATTTGCTGCTTTTCTGCTCCTGTGGTGCTTTAGTGTGGGACTCTGAACTCCACAGAGAGTGTAGTCAGCCGTGGTGGGAATCCAGAGCATCCCTCTGGCTGCCCTGGGACCCTGGCAGGGGTCAGGAACCCCCTGGACAGAGCCCCCAGAGACACTGGCTGTGATCTCTGCCCATGGAAAAGAGTTTTCAGTCTTACAGGATGAATTACAAGCTCTGAGTGTTTGATATAAGTAATAATTAAGTGTGGCACGGATGCAAAAGTAAAATTTTAGGATTCTAGATGAGGGGTCCAAAGGGGACAAGATGGAGGAAATTGGGTGTGTCTTGTCCTTTTTCTCCTTCTTCATGCCCTCCATGTTTCACTGTGGTGTTGGCATTTTTCTGTTGGTTCAGGCTGGGGACACACTGTCCAACGTAGGTGACAGATATTGGCACGTTATTGTAAATCCAGCACAGGTAGTTTGTGGTATTTAATGTTTGTACCATCCCACTGAGGGCAGAGCCCCACACGCTGCCCTGCAGGACAGAGCTGCGGCAGGGCAGCAGAACATGTTAGAGATAAACAGAATAAACAACCTTGAAACAGCACAGACCAATTATGGCTTCTTCTTTGGCAGCGGGGCTCAGAGACCTTCTACAATCTCGGGATCATCAATAACACAGATTCCAACAAGCTGTCTTCATGTTTTGGTCAGAAAAACACAATTCCTCTGGGCCCGAAACTCAAGGGCACCAAATGATGCCTTAAGTTTTAACTTTGATATTTTCCAGATTCTGTACTGCATTAGTATATATCTCTGAACTTGTTATATTTACATACTATATATAGTCTGTATACTCCATATATATATTAGTAAGATTGTTTACTATTTACTATATACTACAGTACTAAGACTATATATACTATATATAGTACTACAGTAGTAGGACTCTATATACTATATATAGTTTATAAGAAGTTTCTATGTTCATATAGTTTATATGAACTATATATGTTTATACAAAGTTTTATAACTCCATATAAAGTGACAGCAAGTTCTCCTCACAGCTCAGGCACACAGAACAATCCTTTTCCAGGCCCAGAACCAAGGACACTGCTGCAGCTTCAGCCCCAAAAAGTGCAAACAACAGGGAATTGAGGAGAGAAAATTTGGGAGGATAGGACTGCATCACCTGGAGCTGGAATTGGACCATGAACCACAATATAGAAATGGACCAAAACAGAGCCATTAGTGTATAACTGGGAGAAATCACAGCAGGAAAAAAAAAAAAAGAGTAAAAACCCCATAAAGAGGAATAAGCATAATAAAAAGAGCTGTTGGCAAGGAATGAAAAGGAGAATTCCTTTCACATTTTATCTAATACTGCAGTACAAGTTAATTTCTGCTCGAGGCATTTGCAGGTAAGGATGTGTTATGGAAATCAGTTGTAAATTTAAGCAATTTTCCTGGAAGAAAAGGGAAGCAGGGCATCCAGGGGATATCACTCAATGAAGTGAGCAGGTTGTACCCTGCACTCAGGCTGAAGCAGCCTGGCCATCACCTGTGATCTATTTCTTGAAGAAGAAATTAAGTCTGGAACCAAATCAGACAGGCTTGTGTAATTTCCCTCTGGCAGCCTCACTTAATTTCATCTCTCAGAACATCTCCAGCACTGCCTGGCTACACCTCTTGCACCCCCTAATTGATCTTGTTTATGTCTGACTGAGCTGCATTTTAGGGGGTGGCATTTTGGCAGCCTCCAGCTGTTGTAGCTGTGTCTGCAACAGCACAAGGCTGAGCGCTTGAAAGAAAATGCTCTTTTCACGGCAGCTGATTTTTTAAAATCCCTAAATAAAGCAGTCTGTGCAAACAGAAGGATTCTCCTGCAGCTGATCTATTTGAGTGGGATGAAACTCAAATATTTGGAGTGGTAACCTGCAGCTGGATAACCTCTGGGTCTGTGTGAAACAATTTTAGGATTTGATCAGATTTCTCCTTAATTTCCTGTAACTTCTTTCAGTTTTCATCCTTTATTCTTACATGTTTGGGTAGGATTTCCCAGACTTTCACTGAGCTTCGTCAGCCTTTCCAGCAGCTTTTACAGCTCTGCAATCACCTATGACACATCAGGAATTAATCACTGAAAGAAGCCCAAACAAACAAAAAATCCAGAGGAGAGTTCAACAGAGCTTCCCCCTTTTCAGGAGATGCTGGAAATTGGTGAGTACATGAATGAATTCCAGCCATTTCCAAGCTTTTTTTCATGTATTTTAGAATATATTTAAGTTTTGTAATGTATTTTAGAATATATTTAAGTTAGGAAGTGAAATGATTCCTCTGCGCTGTGGTAAATTTGGAAATACTTCCTTGGGTGTCGTTGGCCTTGCTGGCTGCCAGCAGTTGGATAAATCCTGGGTGTGGTTCTTCCTGAGCCTGGCTCAACCTCCAGGTGTTGGACTTGGACCAGTCAGAGCTGTACCCAAACCTTCTCTGACTGACATTTTACCCCTAGCTGGCTCCTCTCTAAGACAAATCATTCAAACAGCTCAGGAAGGCTCTGAAGAGTTTGGTTATTAAATAACTTTTGTATTCTGCCATCCCCAGAGCCTGGGGAGTGGCTGCAGTGATTTATTGTTCTATTAAGGCTGGGAAAGAGCCACCCTGGCTGGGCACTCCATGCACAGGGCACTGCCAGAAATTACATTTCTTTGTCTTTCATCTTTATGCTTGGAAATGTCTTTGAATGTTGTGGTTCCTAGAGAAATAAGTTGTTTTTTTGTAAAGGCTGTTGATGATCTGCTTTTGAATGGCCACTGATAAAAGACAGCCTGGGCTATTGCTGAAAATAATCCCAAGTTCTTGACTTTGATTCACCCTTCAGGGACTGTCCTTTCCCCACACCCAAATATGACAATGCCATTTGAGAAATGCACGTGGGGTGCACAGCAGAGCCCCCAGGCAGGGCACAGCTGCTTTTAAATCAGGCTGTGATTTTAAGGGATGTTTAGAACTCCTCTTGTTGATGTCTGAAATGTTGGAATGGAGAAAGCTCAGCACTTTGCTCCTCCATAGCACTGGAAATCCATTTATTTAAGGATATCAGCACAGGAAATGCATCTCCTGCCTTAGGAGGACAGGAATATAAATGAATTTGGATATGAAGAGAGAATGTATGGAATTCTAGGAAGTATTTCTCCTATTTCAATTATATATGGAATGGAATGATTGAACAGACTGGTTTGGGTGGGAAGGGACTTTAAATCCCACCCAGTGCCACTCCTGCCATGGCAGGGACACCTCCCACTGTCCCAGGGTGCTCCCAGCCCCAATGTCCAACCTGGCCTTGGGCACTGCCAGGGATCCAGGGGCAGCCCCAGCTGCTCTGGGCACCTGTGCCAGCCCAGCACCCTCCTAGGGAAGGATTTCTTTAGCAAATGATATAAAACATGATAATCATGCTTGTTCTAGAGCCTAAGAATTAATTTCAATTCAGTTCTTCTCCTTCTGGATAGCTGCCCAACAGAACCAGTGAGGGATGTGGGAAACCCCAAATTTAGATTATTGATAAAGCATCACTTTCTTTCAGCAGCTGTGCAAGGAAACTCACAAATCCAGAAGCTCATTTTGTTCATCCCTAAATAACTGATGGGGAGAGTTGGTAAACACAAATGATAAACACAAAACCCCAATCTGGTGGGGGAAAACCCAACCCCACCAATGCAGACCATGCAAAGAACTGAAACCCTTCACTGATACCAGAGTGCTGTGAGTTCATTTCATTAATTCTAATTAAAATCGATCTGGTGGCAACACCCAGGCCCTGGGACTGGGCTGTGGGAGCTGCTTTAGACAAAGGCAGGGCACAATCCCTGGACTGCAGCCAGCCTGGAACCTCCCCTGCCATCCCCAGGGCAGGATTCCACCTTTCCCACAGAGCCCAATTCCAATCAGCCAGAGCTGTCCACATGGCTCAAGGTTTGGGGCTTCAGCCAACTACAACCACATACCAATGATTTTATTTATTTATCATTATTAACTCTTCTAAAAATCACTTTGGTTATTCTGCTGTGACTGCAATAAAACAAGATGGAATGATTTGGGATTTTGTACTTGTTATGTAACAATGCCAATCCATGCTCCACCTCTTGCTGGGAATGCTCCTGTGCTCAGGGTTTCATGAGAACGGGAATGAAATGGAATCCAGTCAAACGTGGGGACTGGTTTGTGTAACACAGCTCTGCTACTGTGGGAATTCAGGTGTTTCTGCAGGTGCAGCTTCAGGAATAAATTAGGCTGGGGAAGAGCCTCATTTATTAGGCTGGAGGCTTAGACCTGCTGTGCTGGGACATCTCACAACAGCCTACCAAAAAATGAAATTATTTCTTAAAGAATCTTAAAATCCCAGATTGGTTTGGGTTCAAAGGGACCTTAAATCCCACCCATTCCACCCCTGCCATGGCAGGGACACCTCCCACTGTCCCAGCTGCTCCAAGCCCTGTCCAGCCTGGCCTTGGGCACTGCCAGGGATCCAGGGGCAGCCCCAGCTCCTCTGGGCACCCTGTGCCAGTCTTTATATCTAATTTAAATCCATATCTCATATGTCAAAATTACTTGACCAGCTCATATTTTTGATAGCTTTTTTTTCTTGAGTGGCTTTTCTCCCTTTCCAGTATGTCACCAGCATTATTGCTGTGAACTTGATGAGGCAGCAAGGCAGATAAAATAAGTGCAATCCCTTGATCCTTGCAGCAGCTTTCAGGTTTATTTACCCTTGGGTGTTGTTTTGTGTGTTTTGTTCTTTTTCCTACAGCAGCCTTCAAACCTTTCTCTATCAAAACCGTGCTAATTCAGTAGCAAAATGTTTAAAGTCAAAGCAATAAATTAACATCATGAAATTGGAAGGTGAATTAGGTTTGTAAATCCCTTTGTTAATTGATGAGTGTTGCTTTTCTGTTCCTCACTGAACTTCCAAAAATCAAAGTCAGTTTTACAGAAAGGTCCAATTTTGTGTTTTTTTTTCCTTGTTCCAAGGTGCAGGCCATGATCACAGGTAGTAAGTTGAATTTCTGTGCTTTTTGGGGGGTCTTATTTTATACCACTTAAATCCCCCACTTCAATTCTTGTTCTCACTCAAAATATTGTGAGATGGATGCGTCCATCAGTGGTATGAGTAAGAAAATCTTGGGCTTGGGTTGGATTCTGGGAAGGAATTCCTCCCTCTGAGGGTGGTAATGCCCTGGAACGGGTTTCCAAGGGAGGTTGTGGCTGCTCCTGGATGCCTGGAAGTGTCCAAGGCCACTCCAATTCCTTCCCAGTATACAACCCAAAGCTGAGATCTTCTTACTTGTGCCACTGATGGACGTATGCATCTCATAGTTTAAGTAATTTTGAAATATGAGATATGGATTTAAATTAGATATCAAGACTGGCACAGGTGCCCAGAGCAGCTGTGGCTACTCCTGGATCCCTGGAAGTGCTCCAGGCCAGCTTGGAGCACCCTGGGACAGTGGAAGGTGTCCCTGCCATGGCAGGGGTGGGAATGGATGGGATTTAAGCTCCCTCCAAGCCTAAACCAGTTTGGGATGCTCTGATCCACTTCCTGGTGTACCAACACTTACCTTGGAAGGTGGTTTTGGACACCTGGAGTCCTGCATCCACGAACTGCTCACAGGTGCCACGGAAGAGGCCGTAGGTGAGGCTGACGGTGACGGTGGAGCCGGTGCGCGAGAACCGAACCTGGCTGCTCACCCACTGCGGCGTGGCCAGCACCACGCAGATCACCACGAAGGAGCTCACACAGGTACAGAAAGCAGAGGCAAACATGGAGGTTTTCTTCCTGGACGGCATCTTTCCCCGGATTTTCCCCCCAGCTCAGAGGATTTGGTTCCCTTTAGTCCCGTGTACCATGGGGGTGATTCCTCCTCGGCGCTGTCCGAGCGCCGAGTCGTTCTGGTAAACTTTAAGCAAACAGCTGTGGCAATAAAAATGTAAAATGATGGAACTTTGCCCTGGGGAGAAGGTGTTGTCATGGTGACAACCAAAGCAGCCTGGCAAAGGCCGCTGGAATTGTCCATGGATGATTTATGGGCCTTGCCAAAGCGTCGCTTCCCAGATCCCGGCTCAGGATTCACCCAGCTCCTCCTGGGACAGTTCTTCCTCTTCAAACCCTGACAGCCAGGCTGGAATCTGCCAATCTACATCTAATCTCTATCTAATGTGTTATGATAAAGTTGTAAAATGTTCCTTCTCTCTTCAAATTGCCCAACCATCCCTTTGGGAAATCTCTTCATCCTTCAAATTTCAGAAAACACGGCGTTGGCCTTGGGTCTCGGTGGTGTGAGGAGGTTCTGTCTACTGTCAATAGGTTATTTTCTAGGAAATACCTCTAATTTCTAATTAAATACCTCTAATTTCTAATTAAATTCCATGTATTTTCAGAGAATAGCTCCTTCCCTTTTGCTTTTTGTCAGGGAGGAAACAAATACTTTGAGCAGGGCACTTCATTTCTGGGAAGCAGTGGATACGTGCAGGGAGAAATCCTAGAAAAAAAATCTATTGTGGACTAGAAACCAAGGGAATTTATTCATTTTTTTTGATCCCCAGTTGACCTAAACAATGACCAGAGAACACAATTTCAGACAGAACCTTCATTGCTTAATGAAAACACCGGAACCAAATTTCAAGAATTTGAAATAAACTCAGTCCCCATTTCCTCTGGCCTGAAACCTAGAACATAAATTAATAATTTATTGTCAGTCTAAAGTAACAGTGATTCCATTTGCTTTTATTTCTATTAATTATAATGTAATTATCCCACTTTATACTCAAGGCCTGCTCCTGGATCATCCAGAGCTTTTGAATGAACCTTTAGGGCACAATCTGCTTCAGTCAGACTGTGCAGTTCCTGTCCTGAAGCTTCCCTGCTGTGTCCTGTGATGCCAGGGAGAGATTCCTGAATTTTTTATGATTATTTGAAATAGCCAAGAATTTCTCAGGAGCAGTAAATATCTGGGAAAATACTTAATTTTCAATCCAGTCTTATTGAACTGATATTTTTTCTGGTTTTATGATTTTTTTTTTGATCCCAAATTTTTAAGCAGTAATTAGATATGAAATCCATGTGGTTTATTTCTATAGTCTTGTGATTTTTATTTTATTTTTCAAACTACTTGAGACTTTGATGAAATTTTTGAGGTCATTATTTATACAAATATATAAATAAAATGAAAAAAATTTATTCCTAAATAATCAAAATGCTTCATTAACTTAGTGGAAATCAGTCAGGATTTGATTGAAGCTCTGAGGAACAAAGGGGAATTTCTTACCCTGTATAAAATTATAAGAAACTTGCCTCACTTTTTGTCCAGTACCCAGTTAAACTTTAACCACAGAACTATGGGGAGGTTCTGTTTGGCTGATCCACCTCTCCAGGTTCATTATTCCAACAGCTCTATTCTCCAAGGGACATAGTCCAAAACTTTATAATCCAAGGATATTTTCTAATAAACTGAGCTAAAACCCACCCTCCTGCCATCAGCAGTGCCACATGTCCCCTCTGAAATATGCTTTAAAAAAATTCAATATTTAAGAACTGATATTTGTCTTGGTAAAAACGTCCAGGGAATTATTTTTCAGCTCCTTCAGTGTTGATGAATTGAGCAGGCAGCCCTTTAAAAATACTGAATAGCAGACTCAGAGCATGGTGAGCAGCCTGGAGTTCCTTCCTTGCAATCTGACTCAATTATATTTTGTTTTTGGTGACTCAGCTCAAATTGTTATGGCTCAAATCATTGAAACTCTCCTGTGGCTCAGGGAATTGCTCTGTAAATGAGACCATAATTTGTTTTTTTCTTGCTTGTCACCTTGAGGTTCATTCTCTGCCTAGCCTATGATTCCTTGTCTTTTGTTTTTTCTTTTCTTTTTTTTTTCCCTCACAGTTGCCTGTAAAAACATCATAAACCCTGGAATTAAAGCTGCAGTTGGGCAGGACACCCCTCATCTGGAGAGAGAAAGGAGAGGAGATTGGTTTCCTCTGACTCAGAGAAAATATTTCCTGACCAGCACCTTCTCAACTCTGCCCTCACTGACCCTGACTCAGCCCTGCACTGCAGCCAAAGAGAAAAATCAGATTATTTGTTATGAGCTGGAGGGGCAGCAGAGAGATCTGCAATCCTTTGCTACATAAAATTACCCCTCATTTTTAAACATTGCTGATGGGAGTATTTCCCTTCTGTTTAAATCTGTTTCCTTTAAGCCAAAAAATACCAAAGGGAAGTTTTAAAATGCAAACTTTTCATGCATATCTATCCTTTAATGTTCCAAACACGTTCTTACCTGGGGGAAAAAAAAATATCATATGGTGCTTTGCCCCCAGTTCCAGAAGGAGCAGAAATTAGGGAGGAATTCTTCCCTGTGAGGGTGCCCAGAGAAGCTGTGGCTGCCCCTGGCAGTGCCCAAGGCCAATTCTCCCGAGAGCATCCTTTGGATGTTTCAGTTTTTATTTTAGAAAAATTGTAGATTATCTGAAGGAAGTTTATTAGATTAAATATTAGGATGGATTAAATATTAGGATGTATTTATTAATTTATTTATTATTTACTGTTTTTTTATTTATTAATTATATTTTTACTTATTATTTTATTATATTAATCATATTTAGTATGTATTTATTATAAATTATGATAATAAATTATATTTGTTATATTAATGCTTATTATTTATTTTTTATTATTTGTTTAGCTTTATTTATTTATTAGGTTACATATTAGGATTTGTAAAAAATACCATTTTTAAATATTTAGGGGAAATGGAATCTTTTTAAAAAGCGATTTCATGGATTTAGAGGAAAAGAAGGCAAGTTTGAAAAGTCTTATTTCTTGTTTTTTTTTTTTTAACAAATTGAGTATAATTACTAATAAATTTTTAAAATATCTAATTTGAATTAGATATTTTGGAAAAAGTCCTGAAGTGCCATGAAAAGAGGGAGACTTCCAGGTTAGGGAAGAGGGAACAGCCCTTGCTCACATGGCAGCTGCAGAGACAGCCCTGAAAATGCTTTTTCTCAAAGATATTTGGGTTAAAAAATGATCCAGCATTAAGTTTTGATGGGAAATAAATCCTGACATGGAAATCCTCCACAACTTCTCCCAGGGGAAGGAGAGCAGCAGCTCCCTGAGCATCTGACTCCTTGTTTGTCCTGCTTCTCCCCATTTCCAAGCTGGAAAATCATTTGTGGCAATGTTTGCAGGCTGTTATGGTAAGATAAGGAGTTTTAAAATGAAATATTGAATTTATAGCGATATTTCTTTTTTTTTTTTTCTTTTCTTTTCACTGCAGAAATCAGTGTCTGCACCTCCCCAAACAACAGAGCTCCACTAAAGCCTTTAGGATCTCTCAGGGTGTCTTTTCTCCATACCCTGAAAGATGCCACAGCTCTTAAATGCTGTGTTTTGCTGTTAAAACGCTTTAATTTATGACTGAATAGTGAAATTGAGTGGTCAAGTGCAGTTTATTGAAGGGTGAGGGGCAAAAAACACTCCTGGCTTTTGAAGAAATGGCAAATACAACCTTTGCAATATTTTCATTTCAATAAAACGTGGCTTTGAAGCTGCTTCAAGGCGTGGAGTGTTTCAAACAACCCCTTGAGGTGGAGATGGAGAGAAGAACAATTCCTTTATTGCAATTTCTGTAACAATTCTAAAGAGATGCAGGTTTGAACACTTCAATCTATTCCTACAGACTCCTAATTTTAGATTCCAAATGGAAAAAGCTTCAACAACCGCCCCTTTGAAGTCACTCAATTAACTGCTGCTGCAATATCACACAGCCTCACGCTTTTGCCCAATTATTGCTACTTTGAAGGGTTTTTCCTTGTGTTTTCAGGCTGAGATGTTTTTGCAGCATCAGAAATCCAGGGTCTGTGTCAGTTTTTTTGCCATTCTGCCTCTGATTTCCTGATTTTTTTTTTCCAGGAATTTACAATTTTTCTTCCAGTACATCAGCAAAAGACTGACCCACCCCGCTCTGCCAAGGGCATCATGTTGGAACACCCAAATAAAATGTTGGTGGTCAAATATTGCCTCTTTCCTGTAATTTATTTTCTTGAGCTTGCCCAGTTATTCCTACTTTGAAGAGCTTTTCCTGTACTTTCAGGCTGAGAAGGCTTTGCAGCCACAGAAATCCTGGGTCTGTGTCAGATTTTTGCTGTTCTGCCTCTGATTTTCTGATATTTTGGGGGGAATTCAAAACTTTGATGATGTCTTTGAGGTCACGATTTATAGGAATATATCAATGTAATTTTAAAAAATCATTTAAGTTTTATTCCTAAATAATCAAAATGCTTCATTAACATAGTGGAAATCATACAGAATTTGATTGAAGCTCTGAGGAATAAAGGGAAATTTCTTACTTTGTATAAAATAATAAGAAACCTTATTTTTTTTCCACTACATCAGCAAGGAGACCAATTTACAGCGCTGCCACTGTGGTTAGCATGTGGGAATACCCAAAATAAAATATTGGTGTTCAAATATCACGTTTTTCCTATCATTTATTCCCAGAGTTTGAGGCAGGGAGTACCAGAGAGCACTGGAATTGCTCTGGGTGAGGTTTCCAGCAATTCTGCTGGAATAATGCTCCTTCCAAGGAGGGGATGCAGGGGCTGGGGCCAGCCAGGAGCCCTGGGAGGCCCTGCAGCATCTCTGGAAAATTGGAAGCAAAGGTGAAAGGGCTGCCAAAGAGCTGCCACTGCTGAGAGGGGCTTGATTTGTGATGGAAAGAGAGGAAAAGACACCTGGGCTGGGAGGTGGAGGAAGGAAAGTCCCTGTGGGATATTGGATTATCCCAGAATTGGGATAAATGTGGGATCAGCTGCTCGTTGTTGTCTTATTTTTGCACAATATTTCAGCCTTCCACTTTCTTAAACTGATTTTTTGGTGCAGCTTCTGTCTTCCCTTAAATGGCTACA